CAAAAGGTGGGACATCTCGAAAGGGGGGGGCTACAGGTTATAGGTGGGTTTAAAGATTTTTTGGCTTGTAATTGGTTAAAGACATGAAGCTTTGTCTAAAGGCTTGGAATGTTTCAACATAGGAGCTGTTTACTAGAGATAAGCCTTGGGACATAGATTGGTTGTGTAAATTGAGGACGTGCAGGTTGTCTTGCATACCCTTAGGCCTGTTAGTGGGTTACAATGGATGTCTCCAAGAAGGAAAGGGGCATGATAAGGCATGTCTGACCTCCCTCCTCCTGGAAGACAATTTAATTTTAGGATATTCCTTTGGCCACAAAGGGGTCCATTCAGTCAGAGGGAGTCCATTCAGTCAGCCTGTGGGGGTTGAGACTTAAAATTTTCACAGTTTTATACATTTCTTAGAAACAGGAATAGCAGGTACAGTCATAAATCAGTGCATGGAGAGTATCCATTGCTTTGGCCTAAAAGGCAGGCTATCTTGAAGCAGGGGCTTGTACGTCTCAGGTGGGTTTAGGGAGTCTTCAGTTGGCAGTTGGCTGAGAGTATTTAAGCTTTGTCTGAAAATTTGGGATCAGTATGTTATTTTGTAAGAGTAAATAATATCGTATTGAAGGTATATGTCTACCTCAGTTTGTTTATCCATTCATCCATCAATGAATATTTGGGTTGGTCCACTTCTTGGCTATTGCAAACAATGGTTTCAAACATCTCTTCATGATTCTGCTTTCATTTCTTTTGAATTGAATGTAAACAATGGGAAATGAGTTGCTATTATATATGGTAATTTTATTATTCATGTTTTAGGAACCACCATATTCTCTTCCATAGAATTTTACCCTTTTCACATTTCTTTGGTCACTAAAATGGGTTCCACTTTCTTGACATCTTTGCTAAAATTTTAATTTGGGGTGTTTGATTTTTTTTTTTTTTGGTAGTTCTTCATATGTTTTCTGTATTTAGACTGTGCCAGATACACGATTTGCCCATATTTTTTCCACTTTCATGGGTTGCCTATTCCCTGGATTGATAATATCCTCTGGTGTACATATTTTTAATATTGATAAATCATATCTGATTTTCTTGGTAAATGATTTTCTTCTTCTTCTTCTTTTTTTTTTTTTGAGACAAAGTCTCACTCTGTTGCCCTGGCTAGAGTGCTGTGGTGTCAGCCTAGCTCACAGCAACCTCAAACTCCAGGGCTCAAGCAATCCTCCTGCCTCAGCCTCCTGAGTAGCTGGGACTACAGGCATGTGCCACCATGCCTGGCTAATTTTTCCTATATATTGTTAGTTGACCAATTAATTTCTTTGTATTTTTAGTAGAGACAGGGGTCTCGCTCTTAGTCAGGCTGGTTTTGAACTCCTGACCTTGAGTGATCCTCCCACCTCGGCTTCCCAGAGTTGTAGGATTACAGGTGTGAGTCACCACGTCTGGCTGATGATTTTCTTCTACTTGTCAACCTTATACTCCGTTCAGCCTTCAGCAACTCATCAATTATCATTTAGATTTTCCTACTCCTGAACTGTTTCTCACAAAACTTTCTGCTTATGGGTTTCTGTTTCAATGAAATTCTGGCTCTGTTATCAGGTAGGCTGGTGAGGTGTCATCAAAAATCTGGTTTCCAGACTATCAAAGACTAAACGTTGTGAACAAGCATTTTCAAGGATATTCATGCACTCTCAGGATTGCTAATGCTAACTTTGTCTACATGCCAATTAGTAGAACTTTGTTATGACAGGTGGTACAGACCCCTGCACAGAGAGACATTAAGGACAACCCAGGTAACACATATTTCTTTCTGGATTCACCACAAAGATGTTTTCCTACTCTGCAGTTGCTTTACCCAATAGCTTAATTCTAGCGTCAGAGTTGGTATATGGGAATAAGTGACCGTATATGGAGTATAAGAGTGTGATGACCAAGTCATGAAATGTTTGCTGTCTACATTATCATGTAAATTTCTTATTATGAGTACAATATAGGTCCCCACTGCTGTCAATCTCACCAATCTTATTCTGAATATGTGGGATGTTTTAGGACTTTGAAGATGTGGCTGTGAACTTCACCCTGGAGTAGTGGGCTTTGCTGGATCCTTCTCAGAAGAATCTCTATAGAGATGTGATGTGGGAAGCCTTCAGGAACCTGGTAGCTATAGGTAAGGATGACAGTATTCCTTCACTCAGTGAATTAGAGAACAAGCAATTCTTTCTCATCAGTACTCTTCCATGGTGTGGAATGTGGACAGTGAATACTTTTGTGAATACATCAGGCATGGCTGTGTTACTGACCACGGTTCTTTGGCTCTCTATGCAGTAGAAATTGACATGAGGCCAAGCAAGTTTTCCCAGACATGGCTTTATTTGGCTTTATTATTGGGGATTATACTCAAGCACAAGACAGGGAGACAGCACAGGAGGAAGAGTTCTCTGGCTATCTCTCTGGGGGTAGGTCTTCCTGGTGTTTTATGGAGAGTGACAGGAATAATTCATGAGGTAAGTGAATGTCATTAAATGTGGAGGGTGTGTGGGCTTAGTAAGATATCATGGTTTTTTTTGTTTGTTTGTTTGTTTGAGACAGAGTCTCACTTTGTTGCCTAGGCTAGAGTGAGTGCTGTGGTGTCAGCCTAGCTCACAGCAACCTCAAACTCCTGGGCTCAAGCAATCCTCCTGCTTCAGCCTCCCAAGTAGCTGGGACTACAGGCATGCGCCACCATGCCTGGCTAATTTCTCTCTCTCTCTCTCTCTCTCTATATATATATATACATATATATATATACACACACACATTAGTTGGTCAATTAATTTCTATTTATGGTAGAGACAGGGTCTCGCTTTTGCTCAGGCTGGTTTCGAACTCCTGACCTCCAGCAGTTCGCCTGCCTTGGCCTCCCAGAATGCTAGGATTACAGGCATGAGCCATGGTGCACGGCCAAGAAATCATGTTAAAACCTACATTACATGATTTAAAAATGGCAGGGTAACCCCTCCTGGGACAAAGAGTAGAGTAGTATAGTGCAGCAAAGGGTCATGATGGGTCATTCTCCTGGTGTTATGAGCATGCAAGTGGTAGGATCAACTGCCTTGGATAAGATGCTGAAATGTTGCTTATCTTAGCTTTTTGAAATAGATAAGCTGGGAGGTGTACGGTCTTGTGATTAGCAGGTATGAAAATGCGATAGTGGGGTGTTGGTGTCTCAGTTGTAGGGGATCATAAATGTAGAATCTAACAATTTTTTCATAATTTTATAATAGTTTTTTTGTAGAAAAAAATGTAAAGACCATAACACTGAAGATCAGCACAAAAATCTCAAGAGAAATCTAAGGTAATTTGCACTGACTAGACAAAATAATGTCTACTAAGAGAACAGACATAGAATAGACACAGAATGTGAGAAAATGTTAAAAACACGCAAACAAAAGTAATAAGCCCAGCATCAAATTTATTTATTCTTAGAGAATGAGTAATTCAAAATCTAAGCTGGTGGAACTGTAAATTATTTGGAGCTTCAAAGCAATGTGATTATGGGGTCAGAGTCACCTGGCTCCTGTGTAACCTTTGTTTCTCTGGTTAGAGATTAGCCTTCTTCGTTACCTACACTGTTTTGTAAAATGTTATAAATGACTAAGGGGAGCCAAGGAAGACCAATTCTCTCTTCACTATTGATCTTTATTATGAACTCCACTATATTAATGTAATATGGTGCCATAAGGCAAGACATGTGGTAGACATCTGATTTCTACAGAAGTACAGGCTCGGCTGAAAGTTAACCAGCCATTGTTCCATAGCTTGACTTCCTGTAGTTGCTTTCTCCTTAGGAGTCACATATCCCTTGCCATCATAATAAGATTGGTAACTTCCCTATTCACATCTATACATTACCATCTCTGTTGTAAAACCTAATACTGGTCTTTCAGATATTTTCCAGACTCTGGGTTCAAGGGGACCAACTGATGCCAACCAGACCAGAGACCATACTTAGGAACTGACTCAACAGGTCCTGGGACCCTATGCCTAGGAACTGACTCAGCACAAGAAGACAGTTTATGTTGTCTTCTTCAACCCTATGAGCTCATCCCCAGCCAATCAGCAACCCAGTTCCCTAGCCTTTTGTCCCATAAACTATCTTTAAAAACCCTGACTCCAAAATTCCAGGGGAGAAGACAGATGTGAGAAAAAATTTCTCCTCTTTGCTCAGTACCCTACATACGATATGAAAGTATTTCTCCACTGCAACCCCTGCTGCCTCAGTGCATTGGCTTTGTTCTATGCAGTGGGCAACAGAACCTTGTTGAGTAGGAACAATTATAGATTAATTTTCCTTGTACATTTCTCACATGGATTTCAAGGCTGTCACATCTTAACATGGAGTATTAAATACTTAGCATTAAATTGAGAAGGAAATGAAACCTTCTGAAAGAAAATAAAACAAGCAGCTTGGAAAAGAACAAATTGTTGTAACTCATAAACCGGCCTTGTAGAGAAAATGTTATAATAGATTTATTTGTTTTCTGCTTATGTAAGCAAAAACGTTTAGCTTCCAAGCACTGAGCCCATTTTTCTGAAGTCTGTGTTTTCCTCAATGGCCATTCACAACTTCTCGCTTGAATAAACTCTTTAAAACTGGATTCTGTTATGCCTTCGTTTGAAAGGTAAAAAACAAAAACAAACCCAAGAAACTGCATTCTGATCCTCTCCATTATTTCAGGTTGACAGGACACATACAACATGCCTACTGCAGCCCCTTAACTCCTGCCTCCAACCCTTCCCTCTGGACCCTCCTAACTCCCTCACTAGCTCCAGTCACTCTGGGTCTGCTCGACATACTCAGACTGGCCCCACTCTGCGGCCTGGGCCTAATCCCCTCCAGGGTGTCCCTCCCTCTCAGCCTGAACTGTCTTGGCCACGCTCTGAACATTTTCTCGCGCCTCCTTCCCCTACCCCTACACCTTCCATAGCTGCAGCCCGACCTCCCAACATCCACGTCCTAAAAAAGTCACTATTCCTGGCTGCATCAAGTACCCTCATCCCCGACCCCATCAGTGCCACCGACCCGCTCTTCCTTCAACCCCAGTTCCACGCGAAGCTCTGGAGTCATCGCGCATACAGACTGGGGTCCCCCACTCCGCCGGGGTCCGGGCCACAGAGCCGGTTCTGCTGCGAGGCCCAGAACGCCCTCGGTTCGCAGATCACCTCCAGCCCTGAGGCAAAGGGATGGCGCCGCTGGACACCGAGTCTGGAATTCCGTTCCAGGCGCGTATCACCTCCCGGAGGGAGAGGCAGGCACAGTCCATGGTGTAAGAAAGACCACAGAGCCCCTCTTAGCAACCTGGAGCAAGTTGGACTGAACTGGAAACATCCACTGACGGATGAGCTTGGCAGGCAGTGGCTGGAACCCGTCGATCAGTCTCCGCGGGTTTCTGTTTCCGGCCTCAGCCGTCACTCAGGCGTTAGGGGGCGGGGCATGAAGGCCCCATCCAATCAGGGGTGCTAAAACCGGGCCCGCGAACCGCCCATGCGACGCACCGCCGGAAGAAGGAGGCGACCTTTAACCTGTCTCCACTCCTGCGTGGGTCGCACCCGCAGGGCTTGGGGTCCGCCTCGGCTGCTCCGAGAGCCCTCAGGTGCCTCCGCCCCAGCTTCTGTCGCGCCGTCGCCGCCCCTGTGGCGTGCACTGGTCGCAAGAGCCGTAGAGGCGACGCTGGGACGCCTGGAGGCCGGGAAATGGGGAGCGTGCGGGGCCGGGTAAGGGAGCAGGGGCTGCTTGGATCCGACCGTTCGCTGCAGTCGCGGGACCTGGGCCTCCCCGCGGTCCGCTCCGTAGTCTGCGGACTCGAGTCGCCCCCGGTCGGCCCTAGGTCCCTCTGTCCCCACAGGGTGGGGCTGGGAGCCAGCCCCCTTGGCGTCCCCCTATCCCGCCCCTCCGCGGCGACTTCACCCCGACCCGGCAGCCCTCTCTGGGCAGCCCCGCGAGTCCCCAGGCTGTGCGGTGACGGCTGGAGGGTCGTCGGGCCGGGTCCCGACTCGGAGTGTGGGGTCGTGCGTGGGAGGGGCTGCCGCCTGTGGGATGCCCAGTCACTTCTTTCTGCTCTTAAAAACTAAATTAAGGCCTCGTGGCTTGTTAACGGAAAAAGCCCAAACTCTCAAAAATGAATGCATTTATTCTGAGCAGAAAATAAGGGCAGAAACCTAAGAACCCTGAATACGGTGGTCGGGTAACAGGTTGGTTTCATACGTTTCAGCGAGTCGGAAAGTGCAGGTAAAATCATAAATCAGTACGTGCACGGTATACATTGGTTCAGATTAAAGGCTGGACATCTGGAAGTGGGGATTTACAAGCTGTAGGGTTGAAGCAATTTTTAGTTGGCAATTGGTTGAGGGTATTAAGCTTTATCTGAAAATTTGGACACCCAAGGAATTGATGCTTAAGATAGGGGAGTCTCTTCTCTTTCCAGTGATATGCCAGCATTGAAAAAAGAGCAGTTTAACTAGATCTTGTGGCTTCTAATGCATGACAGACATTACCACTGCCTTGCATGGCCTTAGGTCTTGTTTATAATTTGGTTTCTTATTGCCACAGGGAATCTTTGTTTTGTCAATCTTGTGATCTCTGTTTTAACATTAATGTGGGTCAGTCCTATCTAAGCTTCAAAAAGGAGGATGTATAACAAGACATGTCTGACCACCATTCCCAACAGGGCAGGGAACTCAGTGTTAAGAGTTTCCTGGGGTCCTCTAGGACTAGAGGGGGTCGGTTCACTCAGTTGGGGGTGCTTAGGATTTTTTTTCATTTACAAGTTAAAGCAGGGGTCCTCAAACTTTTTAAACGGGGCCAGTTCACTGTCCCTCAGACCGTTTGAGGGCTGTTGGAGAGCGCAGCACACATTCTACACATGCGCACTGGGGGCCTGGGACCAGTCGGCTGCTAAGTAGGACAGGCAGCGGTGGCAAAAACACCCGGTGGGCTGGATAAATGTCCTGGCAGGCCACATGTGGCCTGTGGGCTGTAGTTTGAGGACCCCTGGTTAAAGGAAAGGCTTTTATGAGGCTCATAAGGAACCAATGCAGATTAAATGATTGATTGATTACAGTTAGGCAGTTGTCTTGTTTGGACTTGTCAACCTGAAGTAAGTGAAAAGGTCAAAATCCAGTTTTAAAGACTTTATTCAAATAAAGGGCTGGGAATGGCCATTTGGGAAAACACAGACTCCAGAAAAATGAACTCATTCTCCAAAGTTTAAAATGAAATTCTTTCTCATATAGGCAAAACAGGACCATAACATTTTGTATACAAGCCTGGTTTATGAGGTACAAGAATTTAGTTAGTTATAGTTTGTGGGTTTTTTCCCCCCTGTAGAATTAAGTTTTCTGGCTCCTCAAATTTCCTTGGGCACTGCCTTGGAGTGTGCCACAGTCAGGGTGGGTCCCAAGCTTGGGAATGCGCCTGACCTATGGGACTGTGGAATCACTTGTGAACTGGGGATTATGTGGGCTGCCTCCCTGAGCCACTTCCCTCTTGGTTTCCTTTGTAGAATCTCACTGCCTTATATTTGGTCTTTACTCAAACATTTAGGAATTGTTTTCCGTAATTTGTGTGTAAGAATTTTATTATTTGAAGCAGATTGGATTGTGTGATAAGGTCTGAAGAAGCAAATAGAGTTCTTGAAATCAATTGTGTGATTCTAAGTTGAAATAATAAGAATATAAATACCCAAGGGCATACCACCTAGGGAAATCAGTAGTCCTAGAGCAGTTCCGTTCTATCTCCCTGATCTCACTGCCGTTTGGCACCCACAGGTGACCAAATTTGTGATTTGTTCTGTTATTCTTTATAGCTTTATCATCTCTTTTTTTTTTTTTTGAGACAGAGTCTCACTTTGTTGCCCAAGCTAGAGTGAGTGCCGTGGCATCAGCTAGCTCACAGCAACCTCAAACTCCTGGGTCAAGCAATCCTCCTGCCTCAGCCTCCGAGTAGCTGGGACTACAGGCATGTGCCACCATGCCTGGCTAATTTTTTCTATATGTATTAGTTGGCCAATTAATTTCTTTCTATTTTTAGTAGAGACGGGGTCTCACTCTTGCTCAGGCTGGTTTTGAACTCCTGACATTGAGCAATCCGCCTGTCTCGGCCTCCCAGAGTGCTAGGATTACAGGCATGAGCCACCGTGCCCGGCCGCTTTATCATCTCTTTACCAAGATGCAGAGTTTTACCTCTTTCAAACTTTCAGTAACTTAATATTGCCATTTATATGCCATTAATATTATGCTGATACAGTTTATTTCTGGTTTTCTTGCATCTGTTTGTTGCAAACTGCTGCAGTCTGAAGTCGTGGGTCACCCAGTTTACTCACCTATTGCAGTGCCTATGGAACTTGGGTTATTTCAGGTTATTTGATCTTGTTGACAATAACGTTCTTATTTCTGCCCCCAAGTAGAAATGACAAGAATGAACACACATGAATTAAAGGTGAGGTGCTTAATTCATATATACACTTTATCAGCAATTCCTACTATATTTGAATTTGTCATCTACAACACAGCATGTTTGTCTTGATGGGTAACAAATTTATTTTTTATTTCCTGTGCTTTGACTATTTGTAAATATGTCAGAGAAATATTGTTCAAATTTTTCTCCATCTTTTAATCAATTTGGTTCTTTAGAACAATAATTTATTATTGTCAAGGTTGTAAAAAAACAGTGACAAATTTGCTAACTAAGGCCAGTGTGGTAGTCATGCCTGTAATCCTAGCACTCTTGAAGGCCAAGGCAGGAGGATTGTGAGGTCAGGAGTTCAAGACCAGCATGAGCAAGAAAGAGACCCAGTCTCTACTAAAAATAGAACAATTAGCCAAGTGTCCTGGTGTGAGTCTGTAGTCCCAGCTAGCCTGTAGTCCCAGCTACTTGGGAGGCTGAGGCAGGAGGATCACTTGAGCCCAGGAGTTTGAAGTTGCAGTGAGCTATGATGATACCACTGCATTCTACCCAGGGCAACAGAGCAAGACTCTTGTCTCAAAAAATAATAATAATAATAAAAATTTTACCAACTTAAGTCTTTTTAAGTGTATAGATAGTGAGTAGTGTTAACCATACTCATTTTATTGTATGACTCATCTTCAGAAATTTTTCATCTTGTAATGATCACAATTTATACCCATTGAACACAACTCCCCATTTCCTCTTCCTCTCAGGCATTGGCAGCTACCATTCTACTTCCTGATTTTTCAGTTTAATTACTTTACACAATTTACCGAAAATGACTAATACTGCATTTTTCTTTTTATCACTGGCTTTTTTTATTTGGTGTCCCACCCTGAAGTTTTTTGCATGTTGTTGCATGGGCCATGATGTTATTTTGTAAGACTCAGTTATTTCTCATTGTATGTATGTGCATAGCCATATTTTGTTTATCCATTCTTCCATCAATGGACATTGGGGTTGATCCACCTCTTGTCTGTGTAAACAATGATTTTGAAATAACTTTCTTCAAGATTCTGCTTTCAATTCTTTTGAATATAAATATACTGAGATGTGGCTTATTGGAATACATAGTAATTTTATCATTAATTTTTGAGGAACCACCATATTGTTTACCACAGGGGTTGAGCCATTTCATATTCCTTTGAACAGTGACATGGATCCAGTTTCTTCACATGTTCACCAAAATTTTTATGTGGGGTGTTTGGCTATTTGGCTATTTTTTTTTATGGTTTAAAATTAGGAGCTTTAAAATCAGTTCTTATTATTAATACCTTGCCAGACACATGATTTGCCAGTACTTTCTCCAATTTCATGTATTGCCTATTCCACTCTGTTGATAATGTCCTCTGAAGCACAAATCTGTTAATTTTTTTTTTTTTTTTTTTTGAGACAGAGTCTCGCTTTGTTGTCCAGGCTAGAGTGAGTGCCGTGGCGTCAGCCTAGCTCACAGCAACCTCACAGTTTAACTAGGTCTTGTGGCTTCTAATGCATGACAGACATTACCACTGCCTTGCATGGCCTTAGGTCTTGTTTATAATTTGGTTTCTTATTGCCACAGGGAATCTTTGTTTTGTCAATCTTGTGATCTCTGTTTTAACATTAATGTGGGTCAGTCCTATCTAAGCTTCAAAAAGGAGGATGTATAACAAGACATGTCTGACCACCATTCCCAACAGGGCAGGGAACTCAGTGTTAAGAGTTTCCTGGGGTCCTCTAGGACTAGAGGGGGTCGGTTCACTCAGTTGGGGGTGCTTAGGATTTTTTTTCATTTACAAGTTAAAGCAGGGGTCCTCA